TTTAAAATGCTTTTTCATTTATCCCGATACGACTTCCGGTTCCCGAGATATCGTCGTGTAAAGCGAAGAGTAATTTTTAATCGTTTACTCTCGCTCGCGCCTCGTCACTGACCAATTCCAAGCTCCAAACAAATGACAGACGCGATTCCTAGAAGAATGTACGTACGTTTCCAGGAAAAAATATAGGTCGCAGCACCGTTCATAATAATCTCTCTATCGCATTATACTTTAAGTATTTATATCTTTATATCTCAACAACGGATCGAGATATCGGAATGAAACAAAAAAAGGCTTCGATGGCATAGTTTCCTCTATTTCCTAGCCGTGTTTTGACGACAATATTTATATTTTTTACATGAAAAATGGAAGGATTTTATCACTTTTCGTGATAACGTATTCTTAAATTTAAAAATTACTGTACACGAGTTATTATTCTTTAATAATATATTCGTGTATTAATAATATCAATATCTAAAGAATAAAAAATGCAATTTTGTTATTTCCGATTATTAGTCTCGTCTCGATTCGAAGAATCGCTTCTTAAATTTCTGAATACTTATAAACAATTATTCCGCAAGACGACTGAAATTTATTATTATTCTTTCTTTAATTACACGAAACATATTAAAATACATCAAATTTTGCGTCACTTCGTCCCACTTGTTGTATACGGACGTCGTTCGTTAAACCCATTTTGCTGTAGCGAAGCCTCTGTAGATGCGATGGCTGCAGAAATTTTGATCGCGCGTTAATACCGCATCCATATGCCATTCGTGTGCCTGCTTTGTGTACGCGCAAGTAAGATGTATATCGTGTCGTATAAGCGCGAGAAAGAAGAAATATGTCGAGTGAAGTGTTTTTTTTTTTTATGGGTCGTGTGGCAAGCAAATAATGTAACGCGTGCAACGAACGAGCAAATGTAAAATTGCACGTTCGTTGGGATAACGATGACGAAAGATTATAGCAAGATTATTATGTGTGTGTGTGTGTGTGTGTGTGTGTGTGTATGTATATCTTATTTGCTCCCCTGTTAATAATTCAATTTAAAATTACACGGACAACTTACGTCTGTGGGTGTTAATGTGACGAAACTTTATACCTTTTTTTCGCCTAGTTGGCCGCCACTGGGCATACTCGAAAACCGCTCCTATAGTACAAAAATACACGATATTGCAAAATTATTGGGGCCGATCGTACGATCGTGCACACTGATCTCATTATATATGCGAATATAGAACAAAACTAGCGGAGATTTACATATAAACGAAGCTTAAGTAGTTCTGAGGCGGCGGCTGA